GCCAAGAGAGAAGCCATAGCCCTGAGAGGAGCGGCGGTCAGGCCTAGAGTCAGCCCAGGAGGAATCAGAGTAGCCAGTGAGGAGGGGAGGGGAGGGGCCGCCAAGGGTAAGGACGTAGTCCTTGGTCCCCCGAAGGTAGCGGAGGACACGCTTGGCCGCTTGCCAGTGGGCGGCATCATGCTTGCCGGTACCAACGAAGCGGGCCAAAACGCTGATGGGGTATGCTAGGTCAGGGCGGGTGGAGACCATGGCATACATGAGAGAGCCGATGAGCTCAGCGTAGGGGTGGGAGGAGGAGGAGGGGGAGGTGAGGGGAGTGAGATGGTGCCCAACAGGAAGAGGGGTGACCTGAGGGGTGCCTCGAGCCATGTCGAACCGCTCTAGGACCTGCTGCAGGTAGTGGCCCTGGGAGAGGGAGATGGTGCGAGCAGCACGGTCGCGGGTAATCTCCATGCCGAGATAGTGCTGCAGCCCCCCTAGATCCTTACACTTGAGCCGGCTGCCAAGCTCACGCTTGACGCGCTCGAGCTCGGCGGAGTCGGCAGTGATGAGGATCATATCGTCGACATAGACGAGGATGTAGAAGGGGGAGGGGGAGGTGCGGAGGAAGAGGCTGGGGTCGGCACGGGAGGTGCTGAAGCCAAGCTCGGCGAGGGTGGCAGCAAGCTTGGCATGCCATTCCCTTGGTGCCTGCTTGAGCCCATAGACCGGCCGACGCAGCTGCCAGACATAGTCGGAAGGAAAGGGGAGGTGGAAGCCTGCAGGACGCTCCATGTAAATGAGCTCGCGCAAGACCCCCTGGAGGAAGGCGTTGGAGACGTCCATGGAGTGAATCTCCATGTTGAGGCGAGCAGCGAGGTCGAGGACTGCGCGAATGGTAGCGGGCTTGGCGGTGGGAGAGAAGGTGTCGAAGAAGTCGACAGCGTAGCGCTGGGTGAAGCCCTTGGCGACGTAGCGGGCCTTGTAGACCGGCGGCTCGCCAGGAAGCTGCTTCACCCGAAACACCCACTTCCCTTTGACTACGTTCGTGGTAGAGGGAGGGCGGGGCACATCCACAAAGGAGGAGTTGGCAATAAACGCCTCCAACTCCTTGAGGATGGCCGCGAGCCAGAGGTGAGCGTCAGGGCACGCCATGGCCTCCTCGTACGTGGCGGGGACGAAGATGGTGGGGGCGGAGGAGAAGGCGAAGACTGGTGTGCCGCTGAGGTCAGGGGAGATGGGTAGGACGGCTGGATCATGCATGTGGAGGTTGAGGAACTCCTCATGGGAGTCCTCGAGGAGGGAGGAGTGGAAAATGAATGGGAGGACTGCTGCTGCTGCTGCTGCTGAGGATGCATCTGCTGCTGCTGCTGCTGAGGCGGCTGCTACTGCTGCGTCTGCTGCCGCCGCTGCTGCTGCTGCGGGTGAAGGCGAGGAAGAAGTGACGGCTGCTGCTGCTGGTGCTGCTGCGGTGGGTGGAACTGCTGCTGCAGCTGTTGCTGCTGCTGTTGGGACTGCTGTACTGGAGCTCGACGGCAGGGTTGGGCTAGTGTTTTGTTGTAAGATTGTCTGAAAAAGGAGGTCCATGAGAGGGGAGAGAGGAGGCAAGGTAGAGGAAGAGAGGATAACAGGAGGCGGGGCACCTAGGACTGCGTCACGCGACCTGGTGTGGGGATACCGGGTGAGGATGGAGCGGGTGGGACGCAGGGGGGGAGGGGGTCGCGGGGGAGAGGGGGGAGGAGGGGAGGGGGGAGGATGGGAGGGAGCGGAGGGGGAGGAGTGGGACGGGGAGGCGGGGGGGAAAAAAGGGTCAGGGTCAAATATGTCACCAGAGGAGGGGGGAGCACCAGGGGCCGAGGCGGCGGGGAATGGAGGAGGCGGAGCGGGGGGGAGGATGGGAGGGGGAGGGAGAAGAGGGGGTGGGATAGTGTCGGACCAGTTGAGGGGCCTGGGAGAAGGGGCGAGAGGGTCAGTGGGGGGAGGAGTGGAATAGTAGGGTGTGGACTCATCAAAGACTACATCCCGACTGCGGAGGAAACGACCTGAGGGGGGGTGAAGGAAGAGGTAGTCCGGTGAGGAGGGATTATGACCAAGGAAGATGCAGGGGAGGGTACGGGAGGCGAGCTTTCCCATGGTGCGGGGGCGGTCCGCAGGGTGAATGAGGACATACGCCCTGGAGCCCCACACACGGAGGGAGGAGACGTCAGGCTTGGCCGACGTCCAGAGCTCGGTGGGAGTGGTGGAGGGAAGGATAGGGTGGGGGTACAGGTTAGTAAGGAGGGTGGCGTGAAGGAGGGCATAGCCCCACAGAGAAGGGGGGCAAGAGGCATGGACGAGGAGACACCGAGCAATCTTGGTGATCTCCCGAACACGGCTCTCGGCCACACCGTTCTGCTGGGGGAGTGGGGGAGGGTGTGAGTCTGGCGAATGCCATGAAGCTCACAGTAGGAGGCTACCTGACGATTAAGGAATTCGCCACCGCCATCAGAGTGAAGGCGGCGCACAGGGCGGCCAAAGTGGGTGCTCGCCTGCTTGAGCCAGGCGATGATCGCAGTCGGAGCGTCACCCTTCGAGCGAAGAAGGGAGACGGAAGAATATCGGCTGTGATCATCGACCAGAACAAGCATGTAGCGATGACCCTGGCGGGAAGGGGAGGGTTGGGGCCCCAGAGGTCCATGTGAACAAGATCAAGCGGCTGAGCAGCAGCGGAGGGGGAACTCCGATGCGGCAGCTGCTTGAGCTTGCTCTGGACACAGACGGAGCAGGGAGGGGCAAGGGAGGGAGGGAGGGGAGGGAGGGTGAGGGGAAGACCTCGAAGGAGACCTGAGGAGACGGTCGAGCGGAGGGTGGCAAAGTTGGGGTGACCAAGCCTGTGGTGGAGGAGGACGGTGGGATGGGAGAGGGATCGACAGGAGCAGGTTGGGTCAGGGGGGAGGGGGGGAATGGTTGGGTTAGAAGGAGGGAGAGGAGGGGGGGAGATGTGAGGTGGGAGGAGGGAGCGGGAGACTGCCTGGGCAGAGGGAAGACGAGGAACTCGAAGGGTATATAGGCGGGAGCGAGGACAAAAGGGAATACGGGAGAGGAGGCGACCTGTGGGATGGTATAGGAGGCAGTGATTAGCGCGACCTGGGAAGACGGTGGTGATACCGGCCTGCTGCAGGGATCGCTGGGAGAGGAGGTTAGTACGGAGGGAGGGGATGTGTAAACCAGTGACGGTACCTGAGGGGAAGAGGGGACAGGGGAGGTAGAGGTGTGGCGACAGGGAATAGAGAAGCTGGAATCGGCACCAAGGAGGGAGGTGGGGGCTGGGAGAGGGTGAAGGGTACCAGCATCACGAAGGACGGACTCGGTGGCTCCACTGTCAAGGACAAAGTCCAGCGTGGTGGAGGGGGGGAGGATGTGGGGGAGGAGGTGGGACGGAGTACTGAATCACATTCTCATTAATAGCAGCCGAATACATGGAAGGGGCGGGGGTTCCAGCCTGACTAACCATGCCAACAAAACCAGAGGAGGGGAAGGGAGTCACACTGCCTGTGGCTGAGGGCGCGGGAGACGCGCCCGAGAGGTGAGCTGCGGAAGCGGCGGTGCCGGCGGTCCAAGCGGGGTAGGGCTGCTGGGGGGAGCCATAGGAGGAGGTGCAAGGGGAGCTGCGACTGGAGGTCAAGCTGTTGCTGGAGCTGGTGGAGCTGCTGCTGCAACTGGGAGAAGAGGTGATGCTGCCCCTGCTGCTGCTGCTGCTGGAACTGCTGCTGCTGCTGCTGGAACTGCTGCTGCTGGAACTGCTGCTGCTGCTGCTGAAACGGCTGCGGCAGGATCTGCTGCGGTGTCTGCTGCTGCTGCTGTTGCTGAGAGATGGCCTGGTGGGCCAAGGGGGAGGAGACGGGCTGAAAAAGAGGGGAGGTACGAACCTCCTGAGGAGTGGGGCGAGGGGAGAGGGAGGACCAGCGGGGGGGGGTGCCGGTGTTGCCGCGGGCAAACCACTCATCACTGAGCGCTTTGAAGCAAGAATCAGTGGCATGAGTGGTCTGGCCGCAGCGCTGACCCCGCGTGGGGCCATAGCGAGGGAGATACTGGCAAGGAGGAAAGGGGGCTGCTGCACCACGTCCTGCGCCATTGGTACCACGACCCGCGCCACCACCACGACCAGCGCCACGCCCTCCCCCACGCCCTCCCCTGGTGTTGCGCTGCTGAGCAACAGCGGCAGTGGAGGAGGAATGGCGCAGGAGGTCGGCCTCGGTGGTGATAATCCACTGGGCGACTTCAGCCGGGGTGATGCGCTTGTCGATCAGCTGCATGTAGGCGATCTTATGGGTGTCGAAGGCAGAAGTCAAGCCTTCAAGGAGGTGGCAGCAGAGCACAGGGTCCGGGTATGGTACGCCAAGAGCCGCCAGGCGCCGAGCGAGGTCGAGGACGCGACGCGTGAAGGCAGCTGCGCCAGTGGTAGAGTCCATGGTGAGGCTCTGGAACTCCTTGATGAGGGAGTAGAGGGTGGCGACGTCCTGCCGATCATAGAGATCGGTGAGGAGCCGCCAGAGGTGGGAGGAGGAGGTGGGAGCAAGCTCGCGCTTGAGGGTGGGAGGAATGGTGGCGAGGAGGATGGTGAGCGCGCGCCGGTCAGCGACACGCCAGGCAGCGAGGTCGGTGATGTATGCGCGCTCGCGACTGACGTACTCCGCGAGCGCCGCCTGATACGTGTTGTAGGCGGCAGTGGCGGCGTCATGCTCGGCGCGGGAAGCCTCGAAGAGCAGCTGCTGGCGGACGTGGTCGGTGAGGCCGGCACGGTAGGTGCGGATGGCGGTCTCGGAGCTCTGAGGGTCGTTGACGTCAGGGGCGAAGGTTGGAGGATCGCCGGGGCTGACGGGAGGATCGCCAGGAGGAGGAGGTGCAGGGCCCGCGGGTGCATCCGGCTGGGCAGGCTGAAGACCGCGCTCCTCGAGATGGACAACGGCTTTCAGGTTGTAGCCGTTGACCGTCACCGAGGAGAGGAGCACCGTGACGGTTTGGGCATAGGAATGCCAATTGACCGCGGTGTTGTCGGGCAGCAGCTCAAGAGCGTCGACGGAGGTAAAGTCCACGGAGGAATCGGACGCCATTGAGGAGGAGGGGAAGGAAGGGGGGGGGGGGGGGGGGGGAGGAGGAGGAAAAGGGAAAGGAGGAGGAAAAGGGAAAGGAGGAGGAAAAGGAAAAGGAGGAGGAAAAGAGAAAGGAGGAGGAAAAGAGAAAGGAGGAGGAAAAGAGAAAGGAGGAGGAAAAGGGAAAGGAGGAGGAGAAGGATAGGTGCGCGGAGCGCAGCTCTTAAGTCGCCGAAGGCGGATGCGCGACGAGCTGCGCGACGCGCTCCAAGGAGGATGCGGCGACCGGCTGCACGTCGAAACGGCGCGACGAACGGGAGCACGTGACGGCAGAATCGACGACGGGCGGGCGCACGCGGCGGAGAAATCGACCGACGACCGCGCGCGCGCGTCGGCAGAAAGGCGACGGGCGCGCTGAGAGGATTTGTCGACGGGCGTCCACGGGAGCCGTGACGCACGGGCGCGCGGAGAGCGGATGGACTGGTGTGCGCAAACGCGGAGGGCGCGCGACGGGGAGGGGCGCGACGACGGACCGCACGACGGAGGAGCGCACCAACGGGCGCAGTAGGAAGATGCGACGGCCGGAAGCGCGTCGTCAGGCGCGACGGGAGGCGCACGACGGAAGGGAGAGCGGGCGCGGCAAAAAGGCGCGCGACGGGAGGAAGAGCGGGCGCGACGGAGTAGCGCGGCGAGAAAGGGCGCACGGGGGGCGCGGGAAGTAGCCTAAAGGAAGGGCTAGACTTCGAAGATGAGGAGGACAGCATAGGGCCGTGCTAGTTAGGATCGAATCGAGGTGGCGTGAGCCATTGTGGCTCTGAATACCATGAAGAACTAGCTTGGAAGAGAAAAGATTGAATTGAGTAGGGAGCCAAGAGGCTCTTTTTGTACAAAACAAGGAGCAAGGAAGAGTTGGAAGGGAAGCTCTCCTATTGGCCATAAAGTGGACCCAATGGGGGGGTTGCTTGTAGGGCAAGCAACCACAAAAGTGTGGTGTCTCCTATTGGTCACAATGTGGACCAATGAGAGAGATTGCTTGGAAGGCAAGCAACCACAAAGTGTGGTGCTTGGTGATTGGTTGGTTCCTAGGACCAAAGACCATTTGGTTGGAATAGTGCCAACCAAATGTCTAGGACCAAATCCAATCTTGACCAACCCAAATGTGGGGTTGGTCAACCCAACCAACAACCCCCCAACAATTATAATGACTACACCTCTTAATCTAGGCATGCATGTTGTATAGATATATATTTTACAACACCGTACGGGCGTGTGGATATAAAGCGTGTGTGTATAAGCACGTACGTAGTGCCGTACGGCTGTTAATTCTAGTTTCGTAGTGGGTATAGCTAAGATTGGGGATGGAGTGAGTGCAGAGAGGGATGAGCGTGTGTTAACTTGGTAGTGTCGTTTGGGTCGTTGCCCCAATTGCAGTGTGTGGTTGTTGAGAGTCCCACCATCGTTTGAGTGTGTGCCTCGTTTCACCCCTTTTTCCCCTCATCTCTCTCTGACCCCGTTCTCATGTCAGCTCGCCCGTCAACCTGATCGCAGTGTGCTGTTTGTGGGTAATCATACCATCTATGGCTTTTACGACACCCCACTGCTGCTCTACGAGGTAGCATGTCTCTTCTGGCTGTCTCCTCCCCCCTTTCACGCTTTCACCATAACCAACCCTAGTTGTACTTGAAACCGGTAAAATCCAAGAAATACACTATCTTACGTGTCAGCCTTCAACTGTCGCGGTTGCGGTCTTAGTTGGCCCCTCAATGTCCCTTTTCCCTTCTGAGTCCCCTCCATCACTCAAAATTCCGCTCTTGCTGGACATGCGTGGTTCCAAGTGATGCGGTTATTTTGTTTTTGGATCTGCTACCCCGCTCCGCGCATTTTTCCCATTGATGCGCAATACATGTGTGGTTTCAAGGCCTGTGGTTTGCACATCCCAGCCATTGAACCACTGTCTGCTAAAAGTTCTCTACCCACCTTCCCCATCACCCGTGCCCAACCCCTCACATCCTCCCTCTATCTCCAGCTTTCCATGCGTGGCACTTAGTGTCGCTTCCTGGCCTACTTAGTGGCCTCCCAACCCCCTCCACGTCAACCCGCTCCAAACCTGCTCTCCCCCCTCAGCTCTACATGCGTGGATTCAAGTGCCGCTGCCTCGCGCATCCCAGCTTCCGTCTGCTGCCTTGCCCCACCCCAACCAATCCCTCCACCACCTCGTTCACCCTTCCCCACTCTACCTTCCCTACAACCCCCCCCCCTCTCTCCTCAGCTCTGCTCGTGTGGCTTCAAATGCCGCCTTCTCGTGCATTGACTCACCACCCCTCAACACTCTCTCCTTCCACCCGCCTCTGCCTTCTACTTCCCCCTCACCCCTGCTCGCCTCTCCCCACATCAGCTGTACATGCGAGGACTCAAGTGTCGCTGCCTCGCGCACTGACTCCATCCACCCTCATACGCCAGATCTAACCCATCTGTCTATATTCACCCACCCCCTCGCGCCCTCCCCTCTCAGCTGTACATGCGAGGGTTCAAATGTCGCTGCCTTGCGCATCCCAGCTTCTGGCTGCAGCAGTCTCTAGGAGAGCTCTTGGAAAGGTGGGTTCAAGTGGTGGCTCAGGTGGTGGGCTCAGGTGGTGGGTCAGGTGGTGGGTCAGGTGGTTGGTCAGGTGGTGGGTCAGGTGGTGGGTCAGGTGGTGGGTCAGGTGGTGGGTCAGGTGGTTTACAGAGGTGCAAACGTCAACTTCTTCCGTCTGCAGCCGTCTGTGGAGTGCCGGGCTTAGGTGGAGTGATGGTGTCAGATGGTGGAGTGTTGGGGTCAGGTGGTGGGTATCTCAGATCCAGCCGTCTGTAGAACTTCTATTGGAGAGGTGGGAAATCAGGTGGTGCATCAGGTGGTGCATCAGGTGGTGGGTCAGGGTGCTGCTGCCGGCCGCAGCCAGCCTGCTTGACAGGTGCTCTCAGGTGTTGGGAGATAGGAAAGGGGCTTATGGATGGGAGTAGGAAATAGCTGTATTGAGAGGTGAGGCGAGGTGAGGTCAGCATGGGCAGTTCACGCGCCTGCTCTCAGTATTCTGCATGCATCCCATGTCCTCCCCCCGCATCCCCTACCCACCAACTGTCCCATCACCCTTGCAGCTTCGGCCATGTCAAGCCTTCACCTCGTGCTCTTTATAACCTTCTCAAAGTGAGTCAATACTCTGTACAACCTTCTCAAAGTGAGACAATACTCTCTATAACCTATTCAAAGTGAGTCAATACTCTGTATAACCTTCTCAAAGTGAGTCAATACTCTCTATAACCTTCTCAAGTGAGTCAATACTCTTTATAATCTTCTCAAAGTGAGTCAATACACTTTACAACCGTCTCAGAACGAGTAAATCCTCTTTGGTCGCATTCGTACGTTTGACCGACGAACGAAGTTTGCCCGTGCGACTCGAAGCGTGGGAAATTGACATTGCAATGTTTGCCCACGCGCCTCGGAGATGTACCAAACTGCAAAGACCTCTTGGGCAAAGTGCGACGTGGGCCCACGACCTCCTGCGACCATTGCCGCCGTCAGGTGTTGGGGTGAATGCATTGGTTTTCGAGTGCGTTGTTCTTTCTTTTGTAGATGGCTGGGTTGTTGCGGTGGTTGTCTCTGGATAGATCACCAATGCAACTTTGGGAGTTCTGGTTTGCACCGCGACTGGAAAATGCAAAATTTCATGCACTTAGGTGGGAGTCTTCGCAGAGGTGGCCGTCAGGTTTGGTAGTCGCTGCGCGACCAAACCACCCCAACTTTGCAGGCGCCTGACGACTCGATCGCGCCTCCTGATTGGGCGCACGATTTTCCGTTCAATATTTGGAGGCAAGTGTTCGATTCTGACTTGTCGCAACTCACAGCCAGTCGCAGTGGTCCAAGTGGGGTACCACCCCACTTTTCCCACCAAAGCCTGACCAAATCGGATCGCATGGGCAAACTTCGTCGTCGGTCAAACGTACGAAAGCGATCTTTATAAGCTTCTCAAAGTGAGTCAATACTCTTTATAACCTTCTCAAGGTGAGTCAATACTCTTTATAAGCTTCTCACTCAAGCCTTTACAAGCTGCTCAAAGCACGTACCCCATTATGAGGGAGGGCCGGACTCAGTGCTTCCACCTCCGCAGTTCCCTTCCCCCCCGACTCTCCGCTCTTCTCCCCTCGTCTTTCTCCTTCCTGCACTTCCCCTTCCTCCAACTCTCCGATCTTCCCCTCTCATCTTACTCCTTCCCCTTTGCTTCCCATGATCATTTGACTTGTGATACCATCAGAAACGGCGGCCCGTGCAGGGCCTAGGCAAAGGCTCCTGCCACCTTCTGCCTGTCCCATCTTCCCCTCTGACTATCCTGCCCCTCTCTACCCCTTCATACCCCTCACCACCCGTCTTGTGACGCCACCAGGAGGGAGGGCCCAGGAGTTTCTAAAGAAGGCTTTATAGAGGAACTGCCCCTCTCCACCCCTTCATACCCCACACCACCCCTGTCTCGTGGCCCCACCAGGAGGGAGGGCCTGTGCTGGTGTTCCCAGGGGTCTCCAGAGAAGGCTCTAGAATAGGCCCCGCTTGCCCCTCTCCACCTCTTCATACCCCACACCGCCCGTCTGTCTCATGACCCCACCAGGAGGGAGGGCCCGTGCTGGTGTTCCCAGGAGGCTCCAGAGAAACATGCCGGCTAAAGGTGGGCGAAGGGGAAGGTAGCGCAGGGGAGGGGAGGGCGGGGCGGGGCGGGGCGGGGAGGGGAGGGGAGGGGAGGGGAGGTGAGGGGAGGGAGGGGAGGGGAGGGGAGGGGAGGGAGGGGTGGGAGAGGAGGGGAAGTGGGGAGGGGAGTGAAGGAGGGGAGAGGAGGGGAGGGGAGGGGAGGGGCAGGGCGGGGCGGGGAGGGAGGGTAGGGTGGGGGGGGAGGGAGTTTGTCATGATGGCTGAGGTGGGGCCTGAGACAAGCATCCAGTAAACAGATACTCTTTGCTTGTTTTTCTTCTTTCTTTGAGCCACATCGTAGGGAGCCATGTCTGAGACGCCTCAAAGCACGCTGTATGCATCCTTCTTTTCCCCAGGCATGGTAGAGTGAGGCATGGTAGAGTGAGGCATCCGAGCTGCTGCGCCAGGCACGGGCATAGGTGGGGTGGGGGGCACAGAGGGGCGTACGAGTGGGGCACAGAGGGGCGTACGAGTGGGGCACAGAGGGGCGTACGAGTGGGGCACAGAGGGGCGTACGAGTGGGGCACAGAGGGGCGTACGAGTGGGGCACAGAGGGGCGTACTAGTGGGGCCAAAAGGATGCCAGCAGGAAGTGCCAACACTCAATATTCACAGTATGTGCATCCCTTTTTGGTTGTGCATCCCTTTTTGGTTATGCCTGCCAGGGTGAGAAGTATCAGCTGATGTGGGGGCGGATGCGGGCAAGAGCAGCAGAAGCAGAAGAAGCAGTGATCGTAGAGAGGGGGCGTCGCAGCAGACTGTGCATGGGGACAGTGGACTCATTCGCATGGCAGCCAAGCTTGACACCATCATTGTGCCCTTCGCCATGGTCGGGGCTGACGATGCGTGAGTCTCGGACTCACGGAGTGTGCTCTCACCACCGTCTTTGTCTCTCCTCCATTTTTTAGCCGCCTCAAACATTCTCTCCTCCTTCTCTGTCTGCACTCCGGAGCACCATCATGGTGCCCCTCGCCATGGTCAGGGCTGACGTGGCGTGAGTCTCTCACTGAGGGGACTCCTCAGTCCTCTGTCCCCTCGTCTTCAGTCCTTGGCATCCGCAATGGCTGGCACCGCCGACGCATGAGTCTGATGCTCGTTGTTTCACCAGCAATCCCAGCAGTGACAGCAGTCACAACGTGTGGTGTGTGTGGGGAAGTCTGTGCGTGGGAACAACGGTGCCATTCACATGGCAGCCGCGCATTGCAACTTCCTTGTGCCATTCACAATGGTTGGCGTCGACAACATGCGAGTCTGGTGCATCAAGTTCGTCTCTCGTCCCACTTTGTTCTCTCTGCTCCTGGCCTCTTTCACCTGGCTTGTCACTTGTCCCCATCTTGTCTCCCCAAATGGGGTCATCGAACCCTGAATCCCAACACCTTAAACCTCAAATTTCAAAAAAACAAATGCCTCCTAGCTCTCCTCATCCCGTTTGCCATGGTTGGCGCCAAATGCCTCTGCGGTCTTCCCCCTTTGCCCAACCAGCGTTGACACATCCCCATACTCTCGTCCTGGCTCCATCCTTCTCCCTTCTCCCTTCTCCCTTCTCCCTGCTCCCCTCTCCCTGCTCCCCTCGTCCCAACCAGCTATGACATTGCCGCGGATCGCAGTGACATCCTCTCTTCCCCCATCGGCCCGCCCGTTCGCGGCTTATACGAGTCCCTTAACCTCAACCCGGCCACTGACGTCAGCCCCATGACTGTTCTCCCCGGCACCAGCCTCCCCAGGTGAGATGGGGCACCTCCCCAGGTGAGATGGGGCACCTCCCAAGGTGAGATGGGGCACCTCGCCAGGTGCTACCTGTGACTCGTATTCTTTGTTTGGTTCCTTCGCCCATCAGTCCCTAAACCTCAACTCGGCCACTGACATCAGCCCCATGACTGTTCTCCCCGGCACCAACTTTCCCAGGTGAGATGGGTGTTGGGTGTCTTGCTCTTTTGGCTGGTCCTTCGACTTTTGAGGCGCCTCAAAACTTGAGTGTCTTTCTCTTTTGGCTGGTCCTTCGACTTTTGAGGCGCCTCAAAACTAGAGTGTCTTGCTCTTTTGGCTGGTCCTTCGTTCCAGTGCCCATCCTCATCCATCACCACTTCTCTGCCCTACCCACATGCTCTTCCATACCCCCCTTACCCTGTATGTACCCCATAACCCCCCTTACCCCGCCTTCCCCCTGCCCCTCTGTCCCGTACCAGCCTAATTCCCCTGCCGAGTCGTCTGGAGAGAGTGTACTTTTACTTCGGCACCCCCATTGATTTCAAGGAGCTGCCACCGTCGGCGATCAAGGTGTGACGGCACGATGCGTGTGCCAATACGTGCACGGATATGCATGGTTGAGTGCATTGGTAGATGGGGGAGAGTGTATCATCACTTCGGCACCCCCATGCTCGTGATGCTCATGATGCTCGTGGCATGCACATGGCGTCATGGATTGACGGGCATGGCACTCGTGAACATTCACGAAGGCATGGGAGCATGAATGTTCGTGGGAGCTCACATGGGCACATGGGTGCATGAACGTGCTGCCACCTTCAACTCGCCTCCAGCCCGCATGCCTCATTCCTTCACCCGAGCACCGTCATTCCTCTCACTCTCCATTCGCCCATGTGTCCTCAGCCTGCTCTGCTGCACCATCACGAACCGTGCCCATCCTGCCACACGCTCTGAAATGATTCCTGCCCCCTCGAAGGCGTCGTTTTCGCTGTTCTCTTTTGGGCACCTGAAAATTATTGTGTTTCTCAGGCGCCTAAATCTAAGAAGAACTCTAGGGCATGTTCTGCATTGATTGTTGCCCTCTCAAAGGCTTCGCTTCCACCATTCTCTTGCTCTGCGCATGTTTCCATCCCCCTTGCTTGCCTTCCCTTTTCTTCCCTTTCTGTTTCCGATTCTTCTTGACTCTTGCCTGAACCATGGCATTCATGCTGCATCAACCCATGCACCATCAACCCATGCACCATCAACCCATGCACCATCAACCCATGCACCATCAACCCATGCAACATCAACCCATGCAACATCAACACATGCAACATCAACCCATGCACCATCAACCCATGCAACATCAACCCATGCAACATCAACCCATGCAACATCAACCCATGCAACATCAACCCATGCAACATCAACCCATGCAACATCAACCCATGCAACGTCAACCCATGCAACATCAACCCATGCAACATCAACCCATGCAACATCAACCCATGCAACATCAACCCATGCAACATCAACCCGTGCAACATCAACCCATGCAACATCAACCCATGCACCATCAACCCATGCAACATCAACCCATGCAACATCAACCCATGCAACATCAACCCATGCACCATCAACCCATGCAACATCAACCCATGCAACATCAACCCATGCAACATCAACCCATGCAACATCAACCCATGCAACATCAACCCATGCACCATCAACCCATGCAACATCAACCCATGCACCATCAACCCATGCACCATCAACCCATGCACCATCAACTCATGCACCATCAACCCATGCACAATCAACCCATGCAACATCAACCCATGCACCATCAACCCATGCACCATCAACCGATGCACCATCAACCCATGCAACATCAACCCATGCACCATCAACCCATGCAACATCAACCCATGCACCATCAACCCATGCACCATCAACCCATGCAACATCAACCCATGCAACATCAACCCATGCAACATCAACCCATGCAACATCAACCCATGCAACGTCAACCCATGCAACATCAACCCATGCAACATCAACCCATGCAACATCAACCCATGCAACATCAACCCATGCAACATCAACCCGTGCAACATCAACCCATGCAACATCAACCCATGCACCATCAACCCATGCAACATCAACCCATGCAACATCAACCCATGCAACATCAACCCATGCAACATCAACCCATGCAACATCAACCCATGCACCATCAACCCATGCAACATCAACCCATGCACCATCAACCCATGCACCATCAACCCATGCAACATCAACCCATGCACCATCAACCCATGCAACATCAACCCATGCACCATCAACCCATGCAACATCAACCCATGCACCATCAACCCATGCACCATCAACCCATGCAACATCAACCCATGCAACATCAACCCATGCAACATCAACCCATGCAACATCAACCCGTGCAACATCAACCCATGCACCATCAACCCATGCAACATCAACCCATGCACCATCAACCCATGCACCATCAACCCATGCAACATCAACCCATGCAACATCAACCCATGCAACATCAACCCATGCAACATCAACCCATGCAACATCAACCCATGCACCATCAACCCATGCAACATCAACCCATGCACCATCAACCCATGCACCATCAACCCATGCACCATCAACTCATGCACCATCAACCCATGCACAATCAACCCATGCAACATCAACCCATGCACCATCAACCCATGCACCATCAACCCATCCACCATCAACCCATGCAACATCAACCCATGCAACATCAACCCATGCACCATCAACCCATGCACCATCAACCCATGCAACATCAACCCATGCACCATCAACCCATGCACCATCAACCCATGCACCATCAACCCATGCAACATCAACGCGTGCAACATCAACGCATGCAACATCAACCCATGCAACATCAACCCATGTACCATCAACCCATGCAACATCAACCCATGCAACATCAACCCATGCAACATCAACCCATGCAACATCAACCCATGCAACATCAACCCATGCAACATCAACCCATGCACCATCAACCCATGCAACATCAACCCATGCACCACCAACCCATGGTGCAACTGCATCAACCTGTGCAACATCGACCAACCATGCACTCTGCACCAATCCAACATCAGGACGGTATGCAAGCTGTTCTCCCTCACCACCACTTGAACTCCTCACTTGCACTCCCCACTTGCACTCCCCATTTGCACTTCGCACTTTCTCTCCCCACTTGCACTTCCCTCATTTGCCCTGCGCCCTGGTGTGCCTCCAACGCGTATTCCCTTTCTTTGGAAGCTGTTTGGTTCTGCGGGCACGTGCCATATGGATGTCCTCATCACGCATTCACATGTTGTGTTTTTATGTCTCTGCATGCTTGAGCTCATGCGTCTAAATATGTGCACATGTCTGTGCATGCGTGTGTGCATGTGTGCGTACATGTGTGCATGTGTGCATCTGTGTGTGCATGTGTGTGTACGTGTGCATCTGTGCATGCATGTGCGCATGTGTGTGTACGTGTGTGCATGTGTGCGTGCGTGTGTGCGTTTGTGCATCTGTGAGTGCGTGTGTGCCTCTAACTACCTATGTGCACGCATTCATATGTATGTTCATGCGCAGGCATGGTGCGGCATGCAGTGGAGGAGGGCATCGACCACCTCCTGGCATTGAGGGAGACTGATCCGGTGAGATCCAATAACCGATCCGTTGAGATCCAATGACCGATCTGGTGAGATCCAATGACCGATCCGTTGAGATCCAATGATCGATCCAGTGAGATCCAATGACCGATCCGGTGAGATCCAATGACCGATCCAGTGAGATCCAATGACCGATCCGTTGAGATCCAATGACCGATCCAGTGAGATCCAATGACCGATCCGTTGAGATCCAATGATCGATCCAGTGAGATCCAATGACCGATCCGGTGAGGTCCAATGACCGGTTCGGTGAGATCCAATGACCGATCCGGTGAGATCCAGTGGCCGATCCGGTGATCTCTGACACATAAGCAAGAGAGCCTGTTCAATGAACCTAGGGCCAGACACCCAGCAGCTAAGATTTTACACAATGGCCCACTAGCCAGGCTTGGTGTGGCATGCGGTGGAGGAGGGCATCAATTGGTGCAATGCAAGTACGGGTAGGCACCCTGTAACAAGAGGCTTGTGGCATTGATGGGTCTTGGGACGATGGAGCCGCCATACCCATAATGTATTTCCACCCCTCTTCCTGCCTTTGCTGTTCCTGTGGCTGGACCCTATGTGGCAATCATCTATACAGGAGAGAGATCTGCTTAGTCGCATGAGCTCCAAGATACAGCGGTTATGGCCAGAGTTTTTGCGAATTTGACGAGTGTTGATGGGTATGCAACATAATCTTGGCATTGAATTGAATTATGTATGTGCATGTGGGGCGTGTTCAAATGGTTCATCTTAATCTTTGTTTTACAGCTCTTCGTTGAGGAAGAGTTGATGGATGGGCTCGCATATTTTTTGTCCGTTGCCCTTGTGTGCATGCATTAAATTGAATGGTTGCTTTAGCTTATTAATTGTACAGACTCTAACTAACTTCCTACACCCTCGTGGTTACTCCAGCGCTCAATATCGATATCCCACCATCCCAGCGGAAGCTGGTCATACACCAATCTAACGCTGCCACGCAGCTCGTCACATCATCGTTACCGCCACCCTTTGCTCGAGCTACTGAACCGCAATTCCCGAGGGCCGTGGGCTGGTGTCTGCGACCGTGCCACTGTTGACGCCTTGTGGTCCCCCCGCCAGGCTTGTGCCGCCACTGCCTCGTTGTCTTGCCACCAAACCCGAGGGGCGTGCGCTGCGGTCTGTGGCGGCGGCGGGTTCTTCCTTGCGACTCCAGGCGCAGGCGTATTTTTACTGAAGCTGCACCAGCCTTGCTGCAAATTATTCTGTACCACTCATTCCGCACCACCATGCAAACTTCTGGCATACGGACGTACCATTTATATGAGTACTGACATTGAGGGTACTTTCTGGCTGAAAGCCAGCTGTACTCCATTGCTGCAACTAAGTGTAGCTTGATTCTGCGCCGAACTTACCATCTAAACACACCCTGACTGAGCTGGACTTTTCTCTCCTCTCTCGCTCTCAGGGCGTGGAGCCTAGAGTTGCGCAACTTACCTAAGTTGCGCAAGCCGGTCTGGTTACGTTTCTCGTTAAAAAATTGATGAGGACTCGCAGTTCCTTATCGGCGCAAACATTTCGCCAAAACTGTAGCCAGTAGCGCAATTCCGGGTTCCACACACCTAGGATCCACGCCCTCACTCTCTCCCCCTTCCTACGCTCCCCCCTCCCCCGTCCCTCCAGCAAAATGCGCTTCGAAACCCTTTCCTTTCATTTTCCCGCCAACCCAACCACATCCTCCCCTGCTCGCGCACTGTTCAACGGATCACTGAACAGCACATATTGTGCCAACCTGATTGGACCAGAGTCCATCAGATTGCACTGCGTCCGTGTGTTTTGCTTCACTGTCCAACTCAGCGTGGATCTGTGCTTTTGTGGGTAGGTGAGCTCCATAAACCCCCCTTTAGGGTCCAGCGCTGCACGGCGCCTCCAGCGCAGTAAATCCCGCTCGAGTAGGTTGGGGCCTAAAACTCTTTCCGTTCCAACGCGCCACCGGCTGTGGCTGTGGCGATTTGCGAGGAAATTACGCTAGCTTGAGTGTGCTGGCTGAGGTTGTCGGTCGTTGCGGTGGCTGTGGCGTTGCTGTGCTCAGCTCTCAGCTTTCATATTTCTCTCTCCTAGACAAGAAGATGGCATTTTCTAGTCAGGCAACGGCCAGTGTTCAGGTAGTAGCGAGTAGTTCTCACCCTAGTGCTAGCGTAGCTGCCGGTGCGCGAGTAGCCTCCTCTCGTCTTAATCTCTCCGTCCAAAGCGGTCCGTCGTGCCGTCGCGATTACCCACCGTGTTCGCCTATTCACTA